AGCAACCTCTCTAATTCGTGCAACTACACCGCTGTGTCGGCTTGTCATTGCTCTAGCACCGTCTGTACAAACTCCGACGCATTTTATGCAGTCGATGCCATTCTCTTCGATAAATTCATTCAGAAGCTTAAATATGTGCTCTCCTGTAGTTCCTGTTGGTAGCGGCTCACAGAACAGAAAGTCCTCATGGGACGTACCCTCAAATTCGTATCTAACGTAAACGAGCGAATTGGCCAAATCGACTACAGACTCATCTAATTGCAGTGAAAAACATTTGCTCATCTTAACGCGCTCTATTAGCGTACTTTTGATATCATCCGCCTTTTCAATAATTCTATAAATGACTGTGTCTTTCAGAGGGGGCAGCAGGTCGAGCTGTTTAGCAGCTTTTTCTTCACACATAATACGTGTCAGCTCTTTTGCCAACGGTAAATAAGGTTCTTCAAAAATAGTGTGGGGGTTACCTGCTTAAATAATCCGCAAGCTTGCATTTTTCCCCGTTTCCGTTTCAGGAGTCTGTCTCAGAAGTTAAAAAGTTTTTAATTCATGGGCATGGGAGCGAAACACAGGAGACGCTCGGTGTATTTTTCTCACATTTACCTAGAACTTAAATATTTTTCTGTTATCTATCACGCTTTCCTGTGCTCACAAGATTACCAGCGTTCCTAGCACGCATTTCTATGCATTCCTGTGTTTACAACATTGGTATTGTTCGAAACTCACGCACATTCTCCTACCTCCCTATTTGCTGGAGATACGTTTTTTTTAAATACAATTGGTCATTTACGTTCATAGCATGCATTCCTATAGAGTGGTATAGAATTACATTGTAGCTCTGTCCACTCAAGTATTAGCACGCGCTGTATCGTAGTACGTAGGCTGCGTATTTGATACGTCTTAAAATAGAAAATATGAAAACCCGTCCCGATTTTTCAGCACACACAACACAGTTCCAGGGTCATGTGGCGTACCACCTGGCGGCACTCCACGTACCACTGCAGGTACGCGTACCACACGTTTGAGAACCACTGAGTTACATGATCTGAGTGTAAAAACCCCACTTGTGAAAAGAAGAGTTGCTTCTACAAGAAAGGTGAACAATTATTCTAAGGCAATGCAGAGGATTGCAAAAAAAGAATGTAAGAATTAACATACAGTACCAAGTACCAATACTGTACATTTTGACAAAGGTCAAACTCTACGAAATGTGAAAAATAAAATGAATTTGAATTCTTATTGTTCTACATAAGGAAAACAGTCACTGTGTAGGGTACAAATAACATTTAGAGTGAGTGACTTTATTTCAATATGAATAATGTTACAATATCACTTGCCAATCCTGAGCAGGAGCAATGTGCTCACAGGAACATGTCACAAACCGCACGCAGGCACGCAGACACCGTCACATTCCCACGAGCACCCACTAATTAACTTCACGCACTTTGTCTATTTAAACTTCCACTCTGGAACTTGTCCTTGCTCACTATTGGGGTTTCCACAGTCTGCGCTGCAAGTTTAGTTTGGAATGTCCCGTTTTTTCTTGTGATCTACTGGATTATTGACCTACTGTACCTGCTTTTGTTCCCCGACCTCGCTTTAGCCTAACGATTTGCATAACGTTCGCCTAGGAAAGATGTCTTTCTATCTCACTCTCCGCACAGGGTCTTTTCCAACTTTTGCATCTTTTTGCATCTTTATCTTTCTATGCATCATGCTCCCGTGTCAAGTTATATTTTGTATCATACATTATGTTCCTGTATTAAACATGTATCAAGCAATGTTTTAATACTTCAACAGACAACACAAGATATTATGTTTCAAATTCAATTCATCTGGATAACAGCCTTACACTGACATGTTTCACTATAAAAGCATAAATAAAATGGTATAGTTATCTTATAAAAGCTTCTTAAAGGAGATTCTAAATTCATCATAAGGACTGGTGGGTGTTCATGGATTTGAAATGAAGAGTTGTCTTAGCATGTGTATCAAATAACACAAATCTGTTGTGATCTGTCAATATTTACATGAAGGTACCTTGGCAGCAACTCTAATAGAAATCTAGCTCAGATGCCTTTACTTTTAGAAAGCTGCGATTTTACAATTGTTAAGGTCTGTAAGAGCATATTTAATATGTACTGTACCTGAGAGAGTAGCGTGTTCTGTAAGGAAATAAAGGTCATATTTATTTGAGGGCAAAGCAGATTATTACAATGATTCATAATATTATCATCAATAATTTAATTTTGTAGCCATAATGAAAGTGTGTTTTTCTGCAAGTTGTTAAAAGTATGTTAAAATCAAACCTCAGCAATCTTTTGTGAAATCTCAATGCTACCACGAAAGAACAATGGATATTAGAAAACTGTGAATTAACTATTGTCATGTTCTCAAATATGAAAGTACAATGCCAACAACAGCAGATCTCTTTCCTTTTAGAAAATTGTGCACTTACTATTGTCATGATGCGTAAGTTGAATACTTACCTGAGGGCATCGTCATTTCTGGTAGGAAATTAAGGTGGATATTAGTTAGAAAGCAAAGAATATTAATATATTTACAATTTAGAAGGAGACAGGGAGATAGAAGTACATATTGTAGCATGTATATAGAAAACACTGAAGATTATACAATTAAAAAAATAAATCATAAAATAATGTAAAAAATAGTTTGTAACAATGATTTAAGTAAATACAAGCTGAAACGCAAGTAAGTCCTGAATAGTTTTAGAAAATAAATTTATCTCACAGAATTTGTTATATAATCTATAAGTCAAAACCCACTTGTAGGAAGAGAAGTTTCTTCTGCAAAAAATAAGTGTTTTGAAAAGATTCAAAGGCAATGCAGAGGAATGCAAGAATACTGGCAAGAGCAATACGTCTAAGCAGTAATCTAAGCATAAAGCAACAAATAAAAGATGGATGTACCTCCAGTTTGTTTTGAGATCCTTGTAAAGGCTTCTTCAGTAGTAGAAACAGAACAGTAATCTGAAGAAAACACAAATTAAAAAAGTGCAAATCAAAGGAAAACAAAAGGAAAACCAGTCTCCTGTCAATACAACTGAGCACAGAGACACACAGACTTGAGTGCATATTCTCTGCAGGCCAGTGAGCCTCCACAAACAGAAATACATCAATTAAACATTCAATGTGCACAGAGCCTAATTCAAGAGAACAGTGTTTCATATTAGACAAAAAAGTAATTATGAAATGAAAGACTTAAATCTTGATTAGAACATGAAAAAGGATGCCAACAAAGAAATGTTGTATGTGTAAAAATTTTGGACTGACCAGTTAAAATATTTGATATTTTCCATTTATTTATCAATAAAACTGTATTTTGTTGAGTAAGTATCAATAAATGCACCCTCCACGAAATATTGTATAATTAAGAACTTCAAAGTAGAAAATATGCTAAAATGCATGAAAAAACATGAAATAGAGTCTTTAATACCAACACCATTTAGATTCATCGGTCTGTAAGATGGCTTTATTACTATGTCCTGTGTAGCACACAGAGAGAAAAGGCTCCATCCACTCTCACTGGCATCACTGCACAGCTGCCTGCGCTGCCAGGATTCAGGAGTCTCTGTTCGCAGGAGATCCCTGTTCAGCTAAAGCCCACCCATGCCCAGCAGTGCCCAGACAGCTGAGTGCCTCTGCTTGGAGAGTCACAGGCTCCAGCTGGTCAAGGACAGGATCAAGGGACAGAGAAGCAGGTTTTTGAAGTGTACTGTGCAGTTTTATGAAATACTTACTGTTGTTGACGTAAGTACAGTAGGTACAGAAATCAGGACAGCAGTTATTATAATAACCACAAGAGGGCCCACAGGAGCAGCTTCCTGCACTGCCCCAGCAATTGCCCTGACATGATCCTGCAACACAGATGACACAAGATACAGTTGCATGTTGAGTCCATGTGGATAAAAGCCTTATACCATCACCTTTTGCTGTAAATGCTTAAATAGATTTATGTAGTTTTCTTATATGAGTTTCTTTATGACAATGTTAAATACGCCGTAAGGATTGGTGGTTATTCAGGGATTTGAAATAAGGAGCTTGATTTTTCAGTCTTACTGTATATGTGGAATGTGTTGTGACACAAACGTATTACTATGTGTTTATCAAATATCACAGATGTTTTGTCATCTGTCAGTATTTACATGAAAGGACTATGGAAACAATAGTAATAGAAATCTTGCTCGGCCGCCTTTGCTTTTAGAAAACTCTGTACTGACTATTGTTTAGTCTGTAAGTGAATATTCAAGTACTTACCTGTAAGAGGAGTCGATTCTGTAAGGAAATTAAGGTGGATATTAATATAAAGTCAGAACATACGATTGTACAAATAAATCTAATTAAGAATTTCATATCTGAGTCGTAATGAAAGTGTGTTTTAGTGGTAATAGTTAATGCTATGTACACTGAGCGTACAAAACTTTAGGGACAACTTCCTAATATTGCATTGAACCCCTTTTTGCCCTCGTAGCAGCCTCAATTTTTCAGGGCATGGACTCAACAAGGTGTCGAAAGCGTTCCACAGGGATGCTGGCCCATGCTGACTCCAGTGCTTCCCACAGTTGTGTTGAGTTGGCTGGTAGTGGATCTCTACTCAGAATAACTGAGCTAACTTCCACGCAGTAAAAGAGACAACACATTTCGAGTTCAATCCAAGTTGATAATAGCCTTAGACTGTTTTTTTTTACAATAAATGCTTAAATTGTTGTATATAGTTTTCTAATAAAGCTTTCTTTAAATAACTCTGCAATAAATCAAAGAGATTTGAAATGAAGAATTGTATTTTTCAGTCAAATGGGAAATGTGTTTTGACAAAACTGTTACTAGTATCAAATATCACAAGTCTATTGTGATTTGTCAATGCTAACAGGAAAGGACAATGACAGCAACATTAACAGAAATCTCGCTCTGCTGCCTTTCCTCTTAGAAAGCTCTATTGACATATGGCCTGTATATTTCTGTATTTATTTAACAGTAGGTCCATAGAAAATCTGACAAAACTCTTACGAAACTATTGTGCTAACATGCCAAATAAAAACAATATAAGAATTAGTGGTTAAGCGTCTTTCCCTTTAGAAAACTGGAATAACTATTCCCATGCTCCAGAAGTGAATATTTGAATCCTTACCTGTGCTTAGATGTTGTTCTTCTAGGAAAATGATGAAACAAATCAATTTTTTGTAAATTGTTAGAGGTATGTGCATATAAAACCTCTCATCTGTTATGAACTGTCAATGCTAACATGCAAGTTCAATGACGACCACAACACAAATCTTTGTCTATTTCTTTTCCTTTTAGAGCTCAGTCGAATAACTATTGTTCTGTAAGATCTGTAAGAGAATGTAGGATGCATCAGTTCTACAAGAAAATGAAGGTGAAGGACATGAATGTAAAGGCAAAGAATATGAATATAGAGTATGTATATGTTGACACATACTGTATAGAGGAAGATGGTTACCATACCTGAGAAGAATATATGTGGTTATTCTGTGGTGTGTTAAATGTTGTCCCTTTAGCAAATATTAAATCAACATCAACGACAATTACGTACTAATACTAATGTACTGGCACCAACCTGTGGCATCGCAAACACTTAAGTACAATGACAACAACAACAGAAATCTTTGTTGATTTCCTTTCCTACAAATCAGTAGAATAGCAGTTGTTATGATCTGTAAGTGAATTTGTGAATACTTACCTGTAGAAAACATAGTATCTGCAAGGAAATTAAGTTGGATATTAATTTGAAGACAAAGATTAATTTATTATATACTGTAGGTGCATCACAGTATATTATAATGAAGTTAAATTTTTAACAAAATATGTTTTCTATAAATTGTTGAAGGATTTGTATATAAAATCTGATAAATATATTGAGAATTACCAATACTAACATAAACAACAACAATCAATATCACACTTAAGTGATGATTTGAATGTTGAATACTTACGTGCAGGAGATGTCAGTTCTGCAACTGAATAAAGTGAATATTAATTTGGTGGCAAAGAGTATGAATATATTGAAACAACTGGAGGGAAACAGAAAAACGTGTACTATGAATGAAATAGAGATATTTAGATAAAAATGAAAACCTATCCTCCATTTTGCTTACATTACATGTACTGTGTATGGTAACTACAACACCAGAGATATGACTTTTATCAGTAAGTCATATTGATTTTAGTGCTAATGATCATGCAGACATCAAAATACTGTTTAGTATATAAATAAGCAGTACTTTGAAACACCTACCAACAAAAGTATAAATAGCACAAATAATTTACTTAAAGAGAGTGTATCATATACTGTCACGCATTTTTATTAGGCCAACAGAGGCATCTTAATTCCAGAGAGCTCCACATACCTTGGGCAGCAGTGCCCAACATAACGAGTGCACAGACAGTCAGGAACAATGTGGTCTCCATCTTCATAGCCAGACTCATCCACCAGTTGCCCTGGCTTATATACTGTACCACACTTAGCACTTGAGCAAACAGTACAGAACCTCTGCTGCCTCAGTTGATGCTTTATCAGTAATACACATACCATGGAATAGACATATAACTTATACCATGGAATAGACATATAAACTCTAATTTTATTTTTACAGACTTAAAAGGATTTCGTAATGTAAAGCCGAGGTTATTAAATGCACTTGTAAAATGTGTTAACTGCTTAACTTTGCTTTAAATGGCTCTTTTCAATGCACAGATTGTTGTCAGATGATCTCAAAAGTATTGTGCAGCCCCATTATATTATTAATTTGTTATTTTGGCAATATTATTTATGAGAGGTATTCTAATTATAGAATATATTTAAATTGGGAAATTACAGTGTGATTTATACCGGAAGCATAAAGATAGTTGTCTTTTGCGTCATCGACCACAGTGAGAATTCACATATCAGGAAAAGTACATTACTATTATTATTAATTAATAATCAGTTAATGAATCCTTATCATTTCTCAGATAATCTTCTGAAACCTAGCAGATGCTTGGAAATAAAAATGTGATGTTAAAAGATTCTTCATTAAAAAAAATCTTTCAGCAATAAATATAGTAAACATAATAAACTTTGGAAAACGTAAGGTCATCATGAAGTTCAAGTAAAGTGCATTGCAATTTCACTTAATATCTGTAAAAGGTGTTGAGCCTATTCAGGGATACGAGACTGATATCACAGACATCCTCAAAGTACCTTAAAGGAGAGGATTTAAGTTGAACATCCAATTGATGGATGACACTGTGTGCTGGGCAGCTCCAACATCCTAATGTCCCAATCAAAAATGCCTTTTGATTTTGTCTGATAAGAATGTGACAACATGCACCATCTCCACACTGCTCACAGCTTGGACATATTTACTGGTCGCTTGTTAGTTTCAATATGCTGGCAGCTGCCACTGGTTGATTTTAACAGAGGTACAGTACTTTAAAGATCAGAGGGTAAGGTATGTGTGTGCTAAAATGTGTTGATTACAGTATGTG